ACAGATATTGTTATAAAAATTCCTGGAATTTCTTCACACGGAGCACATAGGAGTTTCGAGAAGCGTTTTTTTTCATCATTAGGATAACAGATTCTTGAGATTCTGTGAATACATTGTTGATTAAAATTAATTTAAGGACATTTTCTTGGTTAATTAAAATAATTCCCGACGTTTAGAAGAATTTACAGAGTCATTGCCACAGGACAGATTTACTCCTACTTACGCTTAAACCTTCTCTTTCTTGGTACTTGATACCGCTTTGAAAGGGAATTTGTCCTTAAGTTTATATCGAAACAACCGGCGCCTCTGGTAATGGTATCTTGTTGGCTCATACAAAACATGTCACAACCACTCTCATTGTTGGTCAACCGAGACCGCGGAAACGTAAATTCACAATGCGATATCTGTTCATTTGATACACTGATTTGCAATAATTCAAATAGTTTCTTTTACCGCCGGAACTGCAGGTTGGGATCAGCACTCTGAGCTTTAAATGTAAAACGCTTTAGGTCTGTGAAACCGTATAGAAAGAGAGGGAGAGAAGGTGAGAGACAGAGGCAGTTAGTGAATTTCCATTGAGATCATATATCTTGAATATTTTGAATATCGTAATGTTGTCATAAACCAAGTATAAAATAAGACTGCAATTTTCGTTCTAACTTCAAAAACTTTGCAGGTTCCAGATTCACTAACCAACACTATTCAGACTAGAATTGGGTCAAAATGTATCTGTTCATCTGTTAACATTTCAGTACCATGAACAATAAGAAAAGTCATCCCTTGAATGAAACACGGGACTTGTAGGGTCCCACCGCGTGCTCTGATGTTGAAAGAAACTCTATTGAAGTCATTAAAGGCATAATTGAGCATTTTGTTTCGGCAATTACTTGTGGCAACATAGTTTACCTTCTACGAAACTTATCGTATAGTATTTCTAGTGATTTCGATGCATTGTTTAAAAATAACGCATAGTTGCAGACGCGTGGCGAAACAATATAAGTGGCAATGGTACAGTGCGACAGCAATTAACACTTTCACAATAACCCCGGCTGACTCTAAAAATTTAATATTTCCTCAACGCACTTTCTCCTGGTACGCCTTTGATAGTTAGTGAATGGTCTGATAAAAAAATTACGCATTACGTACACATTAAAATGTTTATGAGGTACTTCTTACTACATATCTTTAGATAAGATCCGGTGGCGTAATTGTTAAGCTTTTTAGCGAAACCAATGCTTCGGTTCTGAGGGTCGTTGGTTCGATTATCTTACTGGTCACGTATTTATGTGACCGGCAGGTAATTGTTCCGGGTCTGGGTATTTAATCCCAAGGAGGGCTGTTGATTTCAGACAGATTGCAGGTCGTATAAAGAACCTAGCCAATACATTAACAATGACAACCAGACGGGATAAAGTCAGGGGAAAGAAGAAATGTTTAGATATTAAAATTCAAATATCTGTATTCAATATAGAAGCATTAAACTAACTTATTAATTGTCAAATCGCTGCCATAAGATAAGATAATATAGAAAGTAATTGAATCTCCTTCTATACTTTCATCATCTCCATATTCACCTTCATTTTTACTGTATTCATTTCAAAGAACTCATCAACCTGAAAATGTATTATGTATTTAGTATTCGCTCCTCTCATGAAAAGGTACATAAATGTATTACAGCACCAATTGTTAATAGTACTAACCAAGCTCTGTGCGACTTTAGAGGCGTGAGAAACGCTTTTATTTTAACATTGCGAGTGAATAAATGTTGGTATAATGATTACAATTGGTTAGTTACTTTATTTCATTATCTTTATCTAATAATAGATATTAATGATATAAATTTAATAGCGATTCTTAAATTTTATAATATTCTCACCTCTCTTCATACCTTAAACACAGAGTTATAACTTTATGAAGGAATAATTATATTTATGTACAATGTAAAATAATGCTTTAAAATCTTACATTTAAAACTTTAATTTATCCCAAAAACTGTAAGAATTTTTTTTTTAAAATTGTCGAAACCAGCTCTGAATAAATAATGTTTTTCAAATTATCGTAATGCTGAGAAATATTAACACGTGACAATTACGTTCAAAGGCTTTAACTCTCTATAAAGGGTTCTTAATAATTTATGGAAGGGAAATAAGTAAATTAGTACTAATAACACAATAACAGGTACACGCCGCATGCCATTTGGCTTGCGTAATGCACCTGTAGTAAATTTAACGGCGTCGCTGCCTTTTTTCGACGCCCCGCCGTTACGTCACACCTGCTCTAGTATGCCGTGGCGTAATTGTCTTGACTGACCACGATAATGAATGAGGACTTGAGCGTTAAAAATTAAACGCTGAGCCGTGCGTACTGGTTTCTGATATAACACTGTATGTTGGTTTGACTTTGATTTTACCTTGCTTTTTACAGAGCTAGTGCATTTCCCATTGTGGGTTATGTCGGTACTTAACATCGAGTCATAAATTGAAGCACTTACCTGATCGTAATAAATATAAAATGTTTTTTTAACAAAAAAAGTATCGACTTCAAAAAACTCTATTAGCACTGAAAAGTTTATAATCAATATAATAAAACTAATATAATCAAATCTTGAAAATCTTACCTATCTAACCTCTGAAAATATTTAAAAAATATATAAACATCCGAATTGATAACCTCCTCCTTCTGAAGTCGGTTAAAAATAAAGTGAAATAGCCATCATGATTTCATATGTTGTTTAATAGAAATTATATATGTAATTATAAAATATATCCTTATATACAGAAATAAGTATTATACAGTAGATTCGTGCGAGTTATTGAGACAGTATCGTGATAATTCACTGAAAACTTGAAGCAAGCTTAATCCAGTAGATAATTTAGCCGTGATGATATCATATGTAAACAGATTAAACCAAAGAGAAAATACCATTTATCATTTTTAACAAATAGCACCATCAACGATGCATAGACGAAAGCAATAACAAGATGGGCTCAAAATGAACAATGATACCTGCGTTACGGAACACATAGTTGTTTTTAATAACATTAACTTTAGTGATTAAGCAACGACTTAAGTAGGCCGTTACAATTGAAACATAATGCGTTTCAATAGTATTAGGTTTAATGTCGGCGCTGTTTTAAGCTTAACATATTATACACACACATTCACACGCCGCAATACAAGCTTGACTAAAATAATTTTCATGGCAATTTAGGTTGGGTACTGTATACATTACAATTTTTATTGAAGTTCTTTCGGTTAAGGTGTGAGAATTTTGCCAGTTAAATCTGGCCGATTGGATACATGTAAAATATAAAAGGTCATAGACAAACATGGTATCAGAGAAAAGACATGGTACTTGAAAAAATTGATGAAGCAGCACTTACGTTTAATAATAACTAAATGGTACACTCTTGAGGAACAATATTGAAGTAAATATATATTTCAAGGTAATACATAAATATAATTACTAAATAAATTTAAATAAGATCTTTATTTCATTTAACTCTCAAAGACTTTTTTGAAATATTATGATATCTTACTACTCCAGGTTGCGGTGAAACCTTAATTATTATTCAGGTTCAATGATCATCTAAGAGACATGAAGAATACGGCTTTAATGAATTATTATGTCAAGTTTAGTAGCAATCGAACGGAATTTTCTTTATGTAACGTTTGTGAACGTCCATCAAAGAAGTATTCGCAACCTTGACTGGATTTGACAACTGTTGGCCTAGTGATTAATGGGATATAAGGTCATGGTGTTCTTCTATTATATCTCGTCTAGAATTTATATTGTATTACTTTAGGAGGAAAAAAAATATTCCCTGGTCCAAGAGATGAACCAATGTTACAAAACAACAGACAGAGGTTAGTTACAACACTTTCCAAACTCCGCAGTTAGAGTTATTATGAAAGAACTTATACAGATTACATCCTCAATTGTACCTCGAGGAACTTGACGTACATTTATATCAGTTCATTTTAAAAAAGTTTGCTTATATTGTCAAGGGCCAAAACCGTTAAAACTTAAGTGCCTCTTTTATATTAAGGTAAGCTCTAAACCTAAAATATAAAATGATGTAGTAAACATACATACTATAGATTTTATATTACAGTTAATGAATTGTTCTACATTTGAATGTCACGATTTAATAATAAAACTAATTCTATCTAGACCACGTTAAGAAATATAGGCTGGGCACGCGTGTTTATAATTAATCTAGTTAAGTTCCATTTTATTGTGCACCACCTTGCATGTAAGTTAAATTAGCCTTAACCTATAACACGTAAAGTTCATGTGAACGAGTGTTTCGTGGTCAATTAAAGTATGATTAAAACATTGGAGAATATCGAGGATTTTTTCTATAAAGCGAGGATAATTTTTAAGGTAAACTTTTAATGGGTGTATTTGACCTTAAATAGATGGTTATTGAATGATAAATGTTCATAACGAGGCTTGTGGTGATATTACTGTGATACTATACTATACTTGATATTACTGTGGTAAAACTTTAAAAATACAGACGTTACATTTACAAGTATCGCAAAATATCAAAAATTTAAAGCAATGTGATAATAGAATAAAGAAATAAGGTTAAGATGAGATGATAATAAAATGTCCGTTAAATTCGTTCACTTCATAATGCTCATTAAGTACGTTGATACTTTAGATTGTTTTTTTTAATCAAAAGAAATTAGGATTTAAATTTTTTAATACTTAGAGTAAATAAGAATTTCAAACATTGACTCTACGCTGTTCCAATATATGTTTAAAGTATTATTATATTATACTCGTATATACATAATGTATAATCATTACTGCTTTGATTTGTAATGAAAAATATAATTTGTTTATTACTACTTTATTACTACGAGACCAACGGACTGAATGAATGTTCTATAAAAGTGTCTTTAACAAACTGTATAACTGTATAACTTACTCATCAACATATACAGTGAGGTATTGAGAATAATAATAGTTGTTATTTATATTATTACAGGTGCTGTGTCTAGTGGTAGCGACTCTAGCGACTGGGTTGGAGGCTCGCACGCGACCTCGATTGCAGCAGCCCATAGATGACGCCTATGAATATGAACCTCAGGGTCCACAGAGAGGCGGTGGGGTAAGTGTTCATCACTCTATCGCTTAGTATTAATGCTTAATCCTTAGCACTGTTAAGGAGGAGAAACCCCCGAGAAAGGTTGACGTCATTTGCGAACGTTTTATTTTTTCATTGAATTATTCACCACACAGCCAGACGTCTCTTTCAAATCAATATAAACAATCTGATATCATATCCGGTAGCGTCCCCAGGATTATCCCTGAAATTGTTAATTATAGTGTTTAAATGCTGATTCCTCAAGTGGTCCGAAGTTAAGGCAAAATCGTGAGGAAATCTGCATATTTTTAAAATAATAAAAAAAAAGTCCAAGATTTGGCGCAGTTTGCCTATTCGCGGTAGAGGCGCGTGGTGGAATACGCCATAATACGTATGGTTTAAGTGAATATTCCACCACACGACTCCAAAAGCCTTTGGAGTTGCGTGGCGGAGTGTGTTGAATTTTTGCGCAGAAGCCTTTAACTGTGGTAGGGCCACGCAGCAGCCTCGGCTGTTGCACGAAAGGGCAGGCTCGTCCGGGTTAGCACCACGACCTCACAGGAGACCGGCGTAAAGTGGAAGTATAATACTTTCGCGTTTCGTCTGGTGAGTGAGGTAGCTGGAGACCAATTTTCAAGAGGTTGTCAACGCATCTGCAACCCTCGGGCGTAGCAGATGTCCATGGGCAGTGGTATTCACTTAGCATCAGGTGAATCGACTGATCGCTTGGCAACATTTCACATGAAAAAAGAAGGCCTCAACAGTTGAACATAGGTTGTTACGAATCATTTATAGGCTTAAAGATGTATGTGGCGGTGTTGCAGGTAGTGCTCGTGCAGGACGATGGCTACGACGACCTGTACCGTGCCTCCGACCGGATCGACGAGGATTACGAGCCTCGGGCGGTCCAACGCGCCCCCCTAAGGCACAAACAGCAGCCACTCCAACAGGAAGGACCCAAGCAGCCGCCCGTTCAGACCATACGGAATTACAACAAAGTCAGCATCCATCCCCCTTTTTTATTTATTTAAACTTTTACACAAAAAAAAAAATAACACTGTGTATAGGCGGACCTAATGCCAAAGACATTCTCTCCCAGTCAACCTACGGGCGACGCAGAGACAAAAGAGGCAGGTGTAAAAAATTTCAAATGAAATATTAAGTAAACAAAAGATATTTTTATTTTGCAAAGACACATTTTGGCGTTAAATATCTGCCATTATTGATCGTATCTGGTAACACTCACATAATAAAGGCGAATATAACGACATATCATACCATACGGAATTACAACAAAGTCAGCATCCTTCTCCATTTCACTTTGCAAAGATACATTTTGGCGCTAAATGTCCGCCATTATTGATAGTATCCGGTGACACTCACGCAATAAAGACGAATATAAGGACATATCATTCATCAAATTCACTTCAGCTCGTTTAGTGTTTCCGAGGCGACATAGGGACCCATGGATACATAATGATCAAAACATAATATTGGTAAGCATTCTTTTACAGTATAGCGTCCATCTGATGCTCATTACGACTAACGTAAAGGGAACGTAAAATGCATTACATAATTCTACCAGCCAGATTTATCTTTTTTTTAATTAGTCTTTAGAATTTCAATTAGTCTTCAGAGAGCCTTGGTAAATGCAACATTGTCATTGATAACGTTTGCCTTGCGTTTTGTGTGTACGCTGCGTGTATTGTGAACACTTATAGATGCAATGAACAATACAAGGTCACTTTATGGTTATTTGTGTTTTTAGTTGTTTTGGTAAATGAATGAGAACCCAATTGAATTCATCAGTAGCCTTTAATAGTTTGTGTCCAATTATCGCGGAATTATTATTGACACTTATTTATAGTCCTCTCTCCCCACACATGCCCCATCAGTCGACATACTTTATATGGTCTTGATGTTAAGACGAAATAAAGTCTGTGGTTCATTACAAGCCCAATACCTTTCCCCTAAATATAGAATATCTATATGTAAATTCGACTATTCGTAATTGTTTCTATATTGTTTTTGTTTTATTAAACAACAAACAAATTTCCGTTTTATTACGAAGCTAGGAGAGTTTAGGACAAATTGTAACTAAATAATAAAGTGGTAACGTATCCGCAACCCTACGGGTGTTGTAAATGTCCATGGGAGGCGGTTGGCATTTACCATTAGGTAAACCGCCAGCTAATTTACCACCTTCTCAGATAAAACAAAACAACATTTCATGTAGTAATCGTTTGTTTGCGTAATTTCAGGTGAACGATGATGGCAGCTTCACCTTCGGGTATGAAGCAGCTGATGGCTCCTTCAAGGAAGAGACCAGAGGTACGGACTGTGTCGTTCGCGGCAAATACGGCTACGTAGACCCCGACGGCAACAAACGAGAGTTTACTTACGTCTCCGGCAACCCTTGCGACCCCAACAAACCGAACGAAGAAGATGAGCCGGAGTCGGCCGCACCCGACTCTGCGGAGAGAGACGACGGCGTACCTAACTACCCGACCAGGCCGGCTCCCAGACCGACAACGGCTAGACCGCCCACCACCTACTTCCAAAACGACTTTAGAGACGCCGACGAGGAAGAAGAGCCCGAAGAAGAACCTCTGCAGCAGATCAGGCCCAGAGTCGTACAGCGTCCAGCTGTCAGAAGGCCGATCTACCAACAGCAACCACAGCAGATTGCGATCACTCCTCGACCATTGCCGGTAACCACCGCTAGAGCTCTGCCGCCTGCGACCACCTTCAGGCCACAGTTGGTTCAAGTAACACCTAGGCCCCAGCCCCAGCCTCAGTCCCAGCCCCAGCCTCAACCCCAGCCTCGTCCACAGATCCAGTACAGCCCTGAACCAAACTACGCGCCTTCACCCTCTCCGGTGGCGGTGACGACTGGCAGACCGGCGCAAATTGATTTCGCTGCGGAATTCGCCAAGTTCCATCGCGAGAACCAATACCAATCGACGACGCCCGCGTCGTTAAACACACAAGGGAAGACTACCATTGCCGCACAGGCACCCAGCGGAAACCCTCTGTACTCTACCGAACTAGTCTACGATCCATCAAGCGGACAATACAACACTCAATTGTATCAAACCCTGCCGCAGACTAAAGGAGAGTTGAACCTGAACCAGAGATTGCAACCATACGTGGCCCAACAGGAGCAACAGAGGCAGAGGCCCTTCATTCCGTCCCCACAGATCCCAGTCGGGCAGACTTCTAATACACCTCTCTACAGGCACCAGCTTTCTAATCCCCAAGAGGTATATCAGAGGCAGCAGTCCGAGGCGCAGTTCCAGAGCTCGCAGCAGCTGTTCGCGCAACAGCAGCAGCTGCAGCAGAGCCAGTTGCAAAGAGACCGCGCCGCAGCCAGGGCCCAGGCCCAGAGACTAACAGCCACAGCCCAGAGCCAGCCCGCTCAGAGCCAGTCGGCCCCGAGGCCAGCGCCGCAGTACTACTACGTGGCGCCCCGTGGGGAGTCCCCCTCCTCAGGGCAAATCGACGCCTTCCTGAGGGGGCACGGCATCCAGTTCTAGTTCTCCACGAATGAACTGCTTGAACGGGCGACCGGTCGATTTAGTCCGCAGCGGCCATACTCATAACGCAAGTCAGATTCTCGGTCGCCCAGTTCCAGTGCGTGAGTGTGTGCGAATAGTTTTTTCTGGGACAGTTGCGGCTGCATTTGTACATATAGCGCCGCGTCTTCAGTACCTTATTGTAACAAGTTTAGTCGTTCGTTAGCAACTTACGCCCGGTTTCTGAAACACTGATCATCGTAGATGTTAACTGTTTGTTGATGATTCTGATCATTAAGAAGATCATTCTGGTCAATTCAAAGATTTTAACCATCCTCAAATGAAATTTGAAAAGCCATTTGATTAGTTAACATCTACGATGATCACTGTTTCAGGTAACCGGGGTTAGTCTGTCAGCACGAAATCAATAATCACTTACACATTAGGTCTTTTAATTAATATTTAAATTCTAAAGACATGTCACTAATACTGCTCCTATGATGTCGGTGTGAGACATAGGTCAGTTAGTGTGATAGAGATCTGATAGCAGTCTAATGGCCCGTTCATTCGGTTGATGAGGCCGTTGGTATTATATTGAAAGTTCTAGTTGTAAGTTTAAAATGTAAACGAACGAAGCAATTTTGTACGTGATAGTCTCCGAACGTTCCGAAAGGAACGCTGTGTAAATCGCAATAGTAATTTGTAATATTTCTTGTTTTTAATAATAAATTATATTTTTTATATTATTAAAAAAATTGCCTTTTTATGTCATCCCTGTATTTTGTCGCAATTATGTGAACAAAAAGAATTACAAATCAGGAGTACTTGGAAAAATTCTTGTTTTAACTATGTAGTTCTGCTCAGTGGCATGAGATCATGAGACTGTCAATTGTACAGTTAAAACAACACTATCAATATCACTATAGTTTTTCACTACAAACACAATTTTTTAATAAAAAATTTAAATTTCTTTGCATAATCTCTTAAAATGTATAGGTTTGCAAACGTCAGAGATCCATTATAAAGTAATGAAAGTCATGAAAGGTCGTCACTACTTCAGTCTGCCTGAGTCCACAGCTAAAACTGCCCTGAAGCATGATCCTGAGCCACCTGCAGCCATAATCTTCTCGCACACTTGCACAGGCCAATAATATTAGACAAAAAGTATTTGAGGAATATACCTATTTTTTATGTGAATAGTTGCCAAGCGAGCAGACGGTTCACCTGATGTTAAGTGAATACCGCCGCCCATGGACATCTGCTACACCCGAGTGTTGCAGATGCATTGACAACCTTATGGAAATTGGGCTCCAGCCACCTCACTCACAGAAGAAACGCGAAAGTATTATACTTCCACTTTACGCCGGTCTTCTGTGAGGTCGTAGTCCTTACCCGGACGAGAATGCCCAATCGTGCAACAGCCGTGGATGCTGCGTGGCCCTAACACCGAAAAGACATACTATACTAGATAGTATTAGTAATTTTGATTTACTTTTGACCAGTATAATATTGTAATCTATGTATGAAAATGAATAAATGCAATAATAGTTACAATAGTATATAACCCAGAACTTTTATGGAGTTGTCAATATATTTATAAACGCAAATATTTATTTATTTTAATTTACTAACGCAAATATTTCTCAACTAGTCGAGATTTATAGAAATTTTCGACGATATTTTCTTTAAAGTCGTAGATAAAACCAGGCACAGGAGAATAGTACCGAGAGATCCTGATTTAAAGACAAACTACCGAACTACTCGACTACCATGGCTGTTAACAACTATTGACTTGCACAAGTATTGCAGCCGTGTCGAAGTCGACAGCAATCGAGGAAAGATTATGCATATAATTATTTTTTAAGTAACTTAACTAATGAGCTCATCATTGGATTCAGTGTAGTGTAACGTTGAACCATTTTTTTATATAATCACATTATCGTGAAGCTCTGTTAAGCAGCATATCCGTAATTTGTGACTGTTGTGTAGCAGTTGGCGTGGAAAAAGTTTTATAAAACTTTTTCCACGTCAACAGCCTGTATCTTATGAACCGTAATACTTAGTTGAAATATTCACAGATGATGTATTTCTGTTGCAGCTATAAAAACAAAAAACAGAATAAAAGTATATTTTAGTGGGGCTCCCAGATATAGCAGCTGACAGACATTTTTGCCGTTTTTATAGATATATATCAATTGAATTCCCGTACATTTGCACAGGTCGTCACTCCATCTAGTGTCGGGTCGTCCTACACTGCAATGGCCAATATGAGGCTGCCAATCGAGAACCTTTTCCCCAACGGTTATCGGTTCTACGAGCTATATGGCCGGCCCATCGCCACTTCAGCTTGCTAATCTTCTGAGATATTTCGGTTCCCTTGTTCTATTGCGGATGTCATCGTTACGAACTCTGATGCAGAGAAATACCGAAAATAGCCCGCTCCATAGCTCGCTGAGTAACTACTACGGCTAAACGGGACTATGTTTTAAATTCATATTTCTGTTATTGAAATTGCGTAACCCTGACCATTGCAACGTGGGGCATTACTTAGTGATTTATGTTACACGGTGGTCAATTAGTGACAATTTGTATCTCTGATTCTGAAATTAGAGCGCATGCTATTGATTGAGAAACATAAAGCAATAGAAGCAATAGTTGTTACGCCCCAAGCTACATACGAGTTCACCCATTTTGTTTCTAAAATTTAGTAATTTATATGCGTTTATTGCTGTGATAATTTTTAGTGGGCCTTTAATAAATTAGCTTTCGCTTTGATATAAATTTAAATCATCGTTCGAAAGAAAACAGTTATGTGTTTATAATAACGATTATATCAGCACATGTTAAAAGTATAAAAGATAGACAGAGATGCCAATGGCAGCTGTTTTCGATCCACCAAGTTTTTGGTAAACGTTCAGTCTATATCTGTTCAATGAGGTCAAATATAAAGCATTCAGTAATCAGGTAAGAAGTTTGAAAAACAGATAATCAAATGATATGCTTAATTAAAAAGTTTTATTGCAATTAAATTTTTCCTAGTTCTTTATTTCTCATTGTTTTTCAAAACATAAGAGAAAAACTGAAAATGTTTAAAATAATAGTTACAATTTCTTATGACGCTCGGAGTAATACCAAAGTAAGACAACAAAAAATCACAATTTTACAATGTTCAAATATTAATAACTGAAGTTTTATTTCTGTGTTTACATCTCTTTAAAAATAAAAATTTTAATTGCGTTTATGACATTTAAAGATTGATGTTGCGAACGACATAGATGGATGGATGGATATGTGCATTAGTTAAAATAATTACGTTCGCACTTATGATGTAAGTGTTGCGGTTTACTAATAGATGACGTTAAACCAAAGTAGAATCGAACAAGACAAACAAAAAGTATAACACCTTATTTAAAATAATAATAAATTAAATGAATAAAAAAATATATGACCTTAACCCACGTCAATTATTCACGACTCATAAATGTTCACAAATAAACTTAGTTCACAAATAAACTTACACATTACGCGTCATATGATTTAAAGTGTGTGTGTACTTATGTACGCACGTAAGAAGTTATAATCTTGTATCTTGTATTAACTGATGTTTTCTGATGGTGAGATTAGCACTATAAAAAAATTTAAAATTTATAAAAAAGCAATGGCGACATCTCTCGTTCGAATTATCGTTGTAAAACGATATTCGAAATTGTTTGTATGCTGGAAAGGATATAACAATAGATGCGCCAAGCATTGCTTCAAATCCTAAATAACAATGTAGAAAGAAGGAGTTAAGATTTTCGTCGCTGTGGCTATCAGCCGTTTAGCTCAATGGCTAGAGCGTCAGGCCGCGAATGCCGAAGACGTGGGTTCGATTCCCACAGCGGCGCCAATCTTTTCGTACTTTATCTACATGTTTTAACATACATAATATTTTTTTTACTTCATAGGTACTTTTATAAATAATGTATATGTTTTGATATTATAAGATAGTATGATGTAAGTAAATAAGTACTATCAGTGTATGTGTTGAGATCCACTATCGTGGACCCCATTTTCATTTCATTGACCCCCAAATTTTTTTTCGCTGACATAGACCCCTTGCAGGTTGTCATAGACCCCTAGGGGTCGATATAGACCACTTTGGGAATCACTGCTGTAGAGTAACATTATCATGTGTTGTAAAGACGTTTACATTTATAAATTTCACATGGACAAACACAGAAACTGATTACTGTGGGTCACACAAATAGTTGTCCCGTGTGGGAATCGAACCCACGACCCCTGACGCCGAAGCCTATCTTGGCAACTGCGCCACGGAGTCATAAATTAGTTAATTAATTTTTGAATGAAGAATAATAATAGAATATCAAAACTTTTAACCTAATTCGTTTAATGAACAACACAAAAGCGCCTTTTTTAATTTGCGTAAGGAATTCACACTTATTTATTATCTATATTATACGCTGTATTTAAAAAGCGATTCACCTTTGTTAAATCTACTTATATCGATCACGTGAATGTGTGACATGAAAACGAAAAAATTGAGGATGAGAAATCATTTCTCACTATTACGGAACATGTATGCACGCATTCGTTACGAATGTATGATTCGAATCAAACATATTAAAGGAAGTCTGGCATAACATACCGCTGCATTGTCTAGATAAAATCGAGTGCGAATTTCCAACGCTCAGAAGCTACTCCGTTTATTTGAACTATTTCGTGCTGTTATACGCAATATTATAAACGCATTAAATGCTACAATTCCAGTGGCTTGTACCAATTAAGAAAACTTTGGAAAATTTGAAAAAAGGATTTTTCATTGTGCACTTAATACGATCGTCAATATGTATTATTTTGTTTTCGCTTTATTTAAGTATAGTTTAGTTATTTTAAAGGATCAAATTGATTGTTATATTATATTATCTCATACAGTTCACAAAGAATATATTAGTTTCATAGATTAGGGTGCATGACATTTCAAATACAAAAATTCTACTAATATGTCCCATGCGTATCAAATAACCTACAGATGCATTAGATAAAAACTAATTTAACTAAATAGTAATAGTAATAATTATTGAAAGAAAATGTAAAATTAGGATTGTACAATTACAGAGACATATGCAAATTATAGGTTGCTACAATCTTTTAGCGAGAAACACGAAAATCTCTCAACGAACGTGGCAGTTTCATTGTTATGCCAAATCCAAATATACAGCTCGACCTTGGCATGCCCCGTGAGAAAAGTCCACAATAGCGCGACGCCCATTTCCAAACAATCGGCCAATTAAAGGCTTAGAATATAGTGCGAAAATATTTCCCGAAAATGCGCAAGCCGTTGAGCACTGCAATACTAGATTTAAGTGTTCATTTAGGCGACGACGAATGTTGTCCACATGTTCGCGCCTTCTCGAAATACGGACAATCAGAGAATTGCGATCAGCACCCGCTGGAGGCGCACAGAAAAAAGATTTTCCGTTTCAGATAATGCTGTGACAACAATGGCGAGGTTTGCGTAAGGCTTTCGCACGGCGCGAGCTCGGGTGGGGCTGTATTTTATATAGGGGGGTCATGTGCGCGGCCGCGCCGTAGCGCCGTCATGCAGGCTCCGTTGGCCTAGCGACATGATCCCCTTCATGCTTATCGCGTGCTTGGCTACGGCCACCGCCACCACCGCCACAACTTCCAACACTACGACCACTAGCGAACCATCGACCAACTCCACCAAAGAGATCCTCAGCGCAAGCGAGACGGCAGATCCGGGTAAAGTCGAAATCGTGAAGCAAATTCGTCGCCTGAACGAGGATGGATCCTATACCATCGGTTATGAAGCCGACGACGGCACGTTCAAGATAGAGAGCAGAGATGTGTTGGGCAATGTGAAGGGCACTTTCGGCTACATAGACCAGGATGGTGAAATTAAACGAGTCACCTACTCTTCCTCTGGAGAAACTACACCGATTCCTGTAACAACTAGCACGACGCAAAGTACACCGACAGCTGTCAGAGTCAATAAGACCATCTCATCGACCACCAGGAGACCGTTAGCGACCGTAGTATATCCAACAAGAAGCAGCATCAGGGAAAGTGCAACTAGAGGTACAGTGATACAGTCTATTCCAAGAAGACGTCCAGTATCCACATCAGCTAGAGCTACGACGAGTCAGGAGACGACCACAGAGAAACACATTGTCGAAGAGACGACCAGCAATATTATCAATCTTTATAAGCCCAGGGAGAGAGAAGAAACAAAAACAAGGACTCAAATTTCAAAGCCAATGTCCGCCACAGTGAAAGACGATTTAATTACCAAACAAACGACCACAAGTTTACCGCAGACCGTGAAACCTGTCCATGAGAATGTTGAGGAAGATGATCCTGAAGCTAGTAAGGCGAACACCATACGCAGGGCGCTGCCAGGCACGATTCACGAGCCCAATTCGCACATGATGACTCTTCAACAATCAGTTGGTGACGATTCAACGGACGTGTACGGAAGTCACCAATCACTTGGGAGCGTACGCCCTCTCTTTACAACCACTACCTCCAGGCCTCGAATAATACCAATAAACACGTTAGTGGCCGCGAGACAAAAGCTACAGCATAGATATCAAGATCCCATTCAAGAGCAGGAGACGACGGTGGAAGCCAGTACTGGCCGTGTCTTTGACCAGCAGCGGGGTGTGACAACGAACCCCGTGCCTGTAGTCCATGTACATCCTCATCGGGATGCAGATGAGAGGCTTTATCAGCAACCAATATACAGAAGACCTCAGGCGACTGTTCAGTTTCGCACTGATGAATACTTGAGAGACCATCCGGGGGCTCCAATACCAATTGGGAATCAGCGGCCCTTTCTCCACTACGAATATCCAGATAAAGTACTGGAGCAGCAGTTTATGAAAGAGGCTCCTTCCACCCAGCAAAACAAAGGCACTGTGGAAACCGCGACCGTTCCTTACGAGGTGAGGCCAGCGCAAAGAATTATCCCTATACCAGTAGACGAGAGGGGTGTCCCTATACAGGGATACCAAGCTCGATTCGTCAATCCGTATAGACCTAGCCCAACGCCAGTAGTATACCAACAGCGGTACGATCCCCTTGAAGAAATGAATTCTATATCGGCACCGGTGAGTACGAGGGATCTGAAAAGGCTTCTTCAGATTTTGATACTGAGACAGAATCGTCTGCAAGCCTTAATGGATCAAATAGTGGCCCCTAGTCCACCTTACCAGCATTTGTCACAGTACCGTCAGGACTATGACTACAATCGCGGACAAATGTCCCGTTACGTGGACGAGGATCGCTTCGACTATAGATACGATCAGCAGTACAGGTCCGTACCCTATCAGGAGCAGATGGGTTTCGATGATGACCAATACGAGAGCCAGAGATACGTCCCGCGCAGGAGGGCGTACAGACGTCCGTACGATGCGGCTGGCTCCTCTTCAAACAACGTAGAGGAGACGCCGGAGTACCTGCCACCGGAGATCCGCGAGGCTTTGCTGCTAAAGATGCTGATGCTGGCCATCAATCCGGACTACGTGCCGACTCCAGCACCTTCAACGGAGCTCACAACAGCTGCACCAACTCGGAAGCAGGTAAGGAACGTGCAAGTCCTAGGCGAGGAGGGCTCCGAAGTGAAATCCGTGCAAAGACATTGATCTGAAGAGTTTTTCGAACGTACTTAAAATAATAAGTGATAAGAAGTAATGATACTCAGTTATTCTGTGTTTTGTAAATATTTTGTACGAACTTTTTATAGTAATGAATTATTTTTAAAATATTCTATGTTGCCTTATTTACAAATCGGCGTTCATGAAAAGAAAAAAAAATATATTTAACGTTTTGAAAAAACGTTAACAATTTTTAATAAGATTTTTGGTAAAGAAAAATAAGGAAAACTGTAGATCATACAGGACAAATTCTGACATAAGCCATCCATTATTCAAACACTTCTAATATAAATACTTATATATTATTCGCATTCAATTATTCGAAGACGGTCGTCGATAAGCTTTAAGACGATGGAGGAAAATTGGCCCTATGGAATATTTGTTTGGAATATTTATTTATGGATGGAATATTTGGCCGTAAACCGTTAATTAAAAAAAAGACTACTTTCTTGGTTCTGAATAGATTGACAATAACTTCATTAAAAGACCTGGAAGCTTGCTAGTACAAATGAATAGTGATTTTAAATTAAACGCTATATAGTTGGGTATGCGACGTTATACTTTAGAAGCACTCTTTATTTTGAAGACGAGCAGATATCAGATTTAGCAGTCGACGTCACTGTTAAAGAGCATCGTATTGTGTACAACTGTTTGGTAAGTAACAATGCCGTTATGTTGCATATGAAATGTCCCACAATGGTCAACCTTCACGCTGTGAGTCTTGCGTCTACGAACGCTTTGTTTCAACTTTTAGACGGTAAGGTCCAATTTGAACATACTCATTTAGTTTATTAAATGCATTTACGGAATTTTGATCCATACGATCCGTGATGAATCCGTGGCGCAATTGCCAAGGTATTGGCTACGGCGTCGGGGGTCGTGGGTTCGATTCCCATACGGGACAACTATTTGTGGGACTCACAGGTATTTGTTTCGAATCTGGGCGTTTGTCCATGTGGAATTTATGTTTGTAAAGCGTCCTTACGACACAGGATAATGTTATCCTAAAGTGAGGGCAGTGTTCTTTAAAAAACTTAAAAATAACAATAATAATGTAATGGCTTAAGACATTTTATTACTTTGTCGTTAAGTTTAGACGGTGATAAAATCATGACCGATCATTGATTTTCTTTAAAGATACTACTTTTAAGTTTATTTTCAAATAATAAATGAGTTACAGTTAACCCGTTGAAAAATAACATTTATACCTTAAATGCATAGAGAAGAAATTATATGTGTACTATCCAGTTGAAAAATTGCTGCGGCCTATAACTTAAAACGATGAAATATCGTTTAGGTCCTTTCATAATTTGAACGAATTTTTCTTATCGATATGGAACAGCCAATGTTTCAACTACTTTTCTAATTATAAAGACTCATTAGATGATTATATATTATAAAAAAGAAGCTGGTGAAATTATGCCAAAGCTGAAACAAATTATTTTAATAGTTATTTTGTGTCAAACTTTGTGGCAGGAGCCATTTTAATATTGCTAGTAATCAGCAAACCTATAACATATTATATATACCATTTAATATATATATTTCTTTCAGCCGTTTTTCGTTTGCTTTTAAGGACGATAAAATAAAAAAAATAAAAATATGTTTTGTCATAAATCTTTCTTATTGTTATATTTCTTTATATAATATTTTTTATATTAGGGCAGGACAATAATTGCTTAGTGTCTCATTCCTTAGTGTTTAATTTTTTAATCGTTTATCGTACTGTTGACGTGATATGTGGTTCGTATGATGAATGAATGAATGAATGAATATACTTTATTGCACACCAAAAATAAAACAAACAAAAATTAAAACTTAATGTAGAAGTGATGGGTACAATGGGCGGCCTTATTACTAAGAGTAATTTCTTTCAGGCAACCTTTGGATGGATTAAAAAGAAATAATTTAGGAATAAAGGTGTGGGTTAACTAAATGAATGAAAAATAAATATACTTATCTACAATCATAATTCATAATAATAAGGTATTTATAAATATGTAAGTAAATAAATAAATGTATATACAAAAGGCTAACAAAATATACACATATAAATACACATATACATACATATACAGATCAATTCATACATATAAATATATACATACCATATATACGAATACATATATCATTGTTAGGGAATAACATTACAGAGACAAGTAATGATTTTTTACAAGATTCTTGAAAATATTTAATGACTGATCACGCCTTAAATATTACATCCTCCAGATAACCTAAAACCACTATTTTTGTAAGCGGGCCACCTGCACACCATCAGATCCTGAGTGAACACGGCCGTTAATGAATCTGCGACCAATTCCACAGGTTCTTTGCTAGCTTTAATAGGTAAGGCCCTCCTGCAGCTGGGTTTATTTACAATTCGGCGTTTTGCGATGCCAATTATCTATCAGTAGAGTGGGGTGCGAACCATATGTGAATCATATTGTTAGTGGTAGTAAACTAAAATAATAACCGTGATAGCTCATTGTCCGTGCGCTCGCCTTTAATTCAATATACTCGAGCAACTGAGTTCGATCCCCGGTGCCGGCACCAATGAAATTGTTAATTTTAAGTGCTGAATTATCACGTGCTCTGCGGTGAAGGAAAGCATCGTGAGGAAACCAGCATATCTTCGAAATAATAACAAAAAAAATCGTGATGTCCGCCAGTTCGCAGTGGAACTACGTGGTGGACTATGCCCTGATATCCTCTATAGAGAGGAGGCCATTGCCGGGCAGTAGGACATGTATAGCTGTGACTTTAACCCTCCATGGGCTCCATGAGAATAAACACCCAGATTCTGAACAATTACCAGTGCCTCACATAAGTGCTTGCACATTGTGGGCACCCCGCAACCCCTGAGCCGAAGCCAGCACTCGGCAACTGGTTTACACATAATTAATATTTGAATATTACATTAGCTAATCTTTTGTTACTGTTTTACATATACTAAACAAATTACAGAATCGATGCGTTGTTGCTGTTGTCCATTACTTTTCCAAAAAGCTGACATACGTCTTTAAATCGATCATATGTGCCGATACGTTCACTGTATGTTAGTTACATTGCGTAATATTCTGGGAACCACCATATGTCGGTTAAGTGTTGAATTGTCGTACCGCTCTTTATACTCTGTGGGAGTCTGTCCCACGGCCCCTACGAGGTGGCATTTAAAAAGCAGTGTTCATAACCTGTAACAATACACTTACGGCGTTAGGGAATACTTATTTTGCAATACAGTTGTTATAACGCGTAATATTTCAAATTGAAATTGCATATAGAGAAATGCTACCTACTGCAAAATCTTAACACATTGTTAAACGACTTATTTTAAAACTTTATGGATAAATAAGAAAATACGAATATTAATAGATTGACTATGCTCCAATTGAATTAATATTTATTTTTTTACCAAGAAGAATATGTGTTCATCAAATATATAAGTAAGAAGAAATATAAGTAAGAAGATTTCGGCAAGGTATGAGACCTAAATGATTTTTGCGTACGATTCAAAGTGGAATAGCTTCGTTTTAATAGAGGATATTATCTTTCCGCCGTTTTGAACACTTCACAGCGTTCATTTTCACGGGACAACAAAACTCAGTCTGTGCAGTATTCAGTTCCCTGTGAAGAAACCCCTCGATGGTTTATCCCTCTATCATAAAATTGTCTCCACTGTACGATATCCTCATAAACGAATTCCGAATTCAAAATTATTTCAAGTTATTAAGACTGCAAATGCTTTGTCGATCTATATCGGAGACTTTTATGTTACAAATCCATTATTCATATTAAATATTTTTAAACTATTCCGTTATTCTTTTAGTTTCACGTACCCACAGCAGCAGACATAAGTCACTATAACGCACCACTGTCCGATATTTAGCCACTGGCAGGCTAAGATTATAATTTTGACAATAAAAATGTTAACAAAGTTTAAAAATTAAGTGAGTAATTTTTGACATCAAATACTGCCTCATTGATATCAGGGTACTAATTGAATAAAACCTCGTTACAAACTACAAATTAATTCAGGCAACAGCTTGTCTGCACATAAAGTATTACAGCAATGTCAATTGCAATTAATGTGTGTATTGTATTAAGTATAAGGTGTAGCGATTTTCTATTGTACACCAAAACTTAAAGTGGCTAAGAATAATTTCAACCGTCACCGAGATTTGAACGCATTTTGCTCGAGTATACAATATTGAAAGAGGACACGTTATAGGTGATAGGGCCATGATTTCTAAAATACAATAATGTAGATATATCGCACCTCTAGAATTATAGTGACCTATTTAAAAAATATAAATTTTTGGGAAACTTAAAATAAAGATTTTTGCACTTATGAACAAACGTCATGATTGTAGGGTAGTGAAATAGGCCGAAGTATAACGTTATTTAGCTTTCTACGCCAAAAATCTGCCCTCGTTTTAATAAAAGTGGAGAAAGACTGTAAGAGTCAAAATCATGATTTTGCGATATGTGAGATTTTCGCGCCGTGAGGTCATCGGCCGATTAGATTACTGGATTATTAATTGGTAAAAGTCTAGGCGCATTACCCGGTAAACGCAGGTTCGATCCTCGGAGTATCAAAAGTTTTTTTTTAATCAAAAAAATAACCATTTATCAACAAAAATTCACATTTAAATTATTACAGCTATCTTTTTGCCTTGATATATTCAATTAATTTGTAACATATTGATGTGCATAGACTACAAGTTTGCTACATCTTTAATTTTGTCCTTAAATAAATGCGCCGAATGAATTAGAAAAGTTAATGATTATAATTATATTTTTACTTTTATTATTAATTTGTATTAATTGATTGATACATTATATTAATTCATTGGTACAGTTAATTATTAAAGATATGTAATAAAACAAACAGGCATTATTAGATGAGAAGTATTTTACCTGTTAAAAGTCGACTTTTGCTATCCAAGCAGAAGTCACCACTGTCTATCGACTTGACACTAAGAAATGACAAATTACGTTAAACTTTTACGTTAAACACTTTCTTAATATTTTGTGCATTTGGCAATTGATACATTTGATCAAACACACAATGATACTATTTATCGGCTGCATAGTAATGTTACCTTTGACTATTTGATGACACTTGTTGGAGAGATATTAAAATCACTCATTAATAACCTTACCCCAATTTCTAAAAACCATGGAGTGTATCATTTAATATTAGTTAATTATTAACGTAGCGTCAGATACAGTCCAGTATATATCAATAAACAAAACAAATAATTAAAACAAATTATATCTCTTTATTAAAGATAACACAAATAAAAATACCATTTCTTAAAAAATAAATAGACTTTATTGACAAATGACTGAACTAGTTTTGTTCGAGTGTGAAAATTATAGCTTAATATATAAAGCTTAGATTTCTTTTTGTGTATTATTATAAAATTCGACTTTTCGTTTTTATCACAACTCAATTTCCACTGAGATCCATTGGGGCCTTGTTCATTGATTAGGTCGGTCTGAATATTATTTTGACTCTGACCATTTCGGAATATAAAATGAGTATCAAAACGGGAATAAAGCAATACAACAAAGAATCGAATGCTTTGTCTGCTTTAAACTCTACTACGTCAGTTTTAAATCGGTACGTGGTTGAGCAAATAGGTACTAAGTACCGCACTAAAGGTACCAAACCGGTTGATTTGGCTTTAATTGGATATACACGCTAGATATTTACAGAGGGACTAAACGATTTGGCGCCTAGTAGGAACCGAAGGTTATATCATGGGTTGGTGCTGAGCCACCTTGTGGCAGGGAGTACTCCTTCAGGAGCTGGTCGAGCATGGAGAAGGACTGTCTGCCTTGCTGCTCTCCGGCCGGTGGGAACCTGACAAACGATGATAATATTAATTAGAGCTCCAGTAACTTCACTACATGGGTTATTGAGCGATGTCACGTTATTTTCTATGCCTATTGGAAACAAGACTAGTACATCAGATAAATAATTACGTAATGCAGGTTCACTATTTTATACTGATTCATTTTAAATTTAGTTAATTAATTTAATACATATGTGTTAGGTTCACGCTACAGTTCGCTGTTGCACGAATGGGCAGGTCCATCCGGGTAAGCACTACTACTCACAGAAGACTGGCGTGAAGTGGAAACGTTGTAATTCTGCATTTTGTCTAGTGAGTGAGATAGCCAGGGCCCATTTTATTATAAGGTGGCAACGCATCTGCAATCCTACGGTTGTTTCGAATGTTAATGGTCGGCGGTTATCACTTAACATCAGGTAAACCAAGCTCGTTTGCCACCTCCTAACATAAAAAATCAATTGGTGCTGGCACCGGGATCTGAAAGGTTGGCTAGTGTCTAGTGTATGATGTCGAACCTGGCTGGCGCCTGGTCGAACTGAGCGTTGAACTCCTGAGGCCTGGCCGCGAACTGCTGGGGCTGGGGCGCGGGCCTGAACTCCTGCTTGGGCTTGTACTGCTGCCGCTGCTGGGGCTCCGGGTTGAAGAAGCCGTTCTCCTGGGCGGGCGGGGCGGGCGCGGCACCGGCGAAGAACTGGGGCTGCGCGATGGACTCGACGTTTATTATAATCGAATACAAAGAGGTGTCCACCTTAATACTACTTACAATATCATCCGTGTACAGACAACGATATTTTTGTCAAAGAGTACTCAGTAAGTATGAGAAAAGATAAATATTTAAATAGTGTCTATATGTGCGGTATGTGTGAGTACATGTGCCTGTGTCATAAAAATAACAAAAAGAAAAGTGTTTTTTGTTATGTGCGTTGGTTCAATACTTTTTCAGAATTGATTTTATAACAATATCGCTATGAACGGAATCGTTAATAGCCCAAGGTTTCGGGAAAGTTTGTTTAGATATCGGGAATTGATAATCAATGAGTAGCACAAAAATCCCTAAAATGTGAATATTGTATAAGTGTAGTAATGTATCTAAGGAATACCGTATGTTTAGTAGTATCCTTATATCCATAGCTTCGAGTCCTTGTCGTAGCACCGTGCTACGACGATGACTCGAAGCCATATACGGAGACAAGCAGCTGCCGTAGTACATAACGTAGCATTTCCCGTAGCACATTGGAGGAGGTTTTATTAGCTCAAGGAAAGGAGATTGCCTCGGGTTGTAATCGGTGCCAGTACAACAAAATCTAGCTCTTAGAAGTCTAGGGAGTGTTCCATACGTTTAAGGTAAAGTAAAGTAACAGTCTATGTATGTGCCATTTCTTGGCAAAAGCCTCCTCTGTAAAAGGGCATAGTTCACTACGCGACCCAACTGCGGATTGGCGGACTTCACATACTACCGAAATATTTTTTTTTGTTGTTATTTCGAAAATATGCAGGTTTCCTCGCGATGTTTTCCTTCGCCGCCGAGCACGTGATAATTTGGCACTTAAAATTATTTAACAATTTCATTGGTGCCAGCACCGGGAATCGTACTTGGGTTGCTCGAGTATATTGAATTAAAGGCGAGCGGCCGGACACTGAGCTATCAAGGCTCACAACGACACAATGGCTTTAATTTTTATATAACTTATTGTAACTATTAATTCCTTATAAGGGGAGAGAAAGAGAAAGAAAACAGTGACAAAAAACAGACAGTTAAATATCTAAAAGAAAAATATTGAAATTAATGAAATTAAGCAAGCATTCGGGTTTAATTTTATCCGATTTTTAGTAAATTGGATGAAATTAAGAATGAATGAAGAAGAATACCACTTTTATGGAAAATTCGAAATTTAAAATCCTACGTCGGAACATCCTTCTATCATGGTGTACTCACCTTAGGTGGCGTAGGGGCCGACTGCGGCGGCCTGTACTGTTGCTGGGGCTGCGGTGGGGGCCTGTACTGCTGCTGGGGCTGCGGTGGGGGCCTGTACTGCTGCTGGGGGCCTGTACTGCTGCTGGGGCTGCGGTGGGGGCCTGTACTGCTGTTGGGGCTGCGGCTGGGGCTGCGGGCGGTAGACGGGCGCGGGGCGGGGCGCGGGACGCGGGGCGGGCTCCTCGTAGTCGTAGTCTATAGACTGAGCCTGCGTCTCGCCTCTGTACTGCGATCTGCCACCCTGCTGTGTTCAATGACATTTGAATTGGGAGTGTTCGCACAATATTTGCGGCCTAGGCTAGTTCTATCCTAAAACACAATACTTGGTGGGTGATTTTGTTGCATGGTGTGAAGGGCGATTCGTATTGGATTGCACAGGCCCAGTAAAACATGAATAGTACTGGTTATCTCTCTACTTCTTTAGGGTGGAAAAACGTAAAAGCATCAGTTATTTTTGTGCAATAATGACTCGATATCCGTTCAGGGACCGCGTAGTATCATCGAGCATATTCAGTCATATATGTGACAGCTGCCTCTTGGTTTTTTACTATTAAAAATAATGCTACAGTCATAACCACACATAGTAAAAAGTAAAGTCAACACCGCTGGGCAAAAGGTTATAGGCCATGTTCCACCACGTAACACTGCGGAGTGGCGGACTTAACATATCTTGGAAATTATTTTTGTTATTATTTCGAAAATATTCAGGTTTCCCCACGAGTTTTTGAATTAAACGGCTTATCACGGCTCACAATAGTTTCAACTTAACTTAATGATGGTAGGACCACGCAACAGTGTTCGCTGTTACACGAATGGGCAGGTCCGTCCGGGTAAGTACCACGACCTCACAGAACACTGGCGTAAAGTAGAAGTGATGCACTTCTGCGTTTCGTCTGGTGAGTGAGGTAGCCGGGGCCCACATCAAAAGAGGTGGCAACGCATCTGCAATGCTACGGGTGTTGCAAATGTCCATGGGCAAGCGTCCAAATAACATCAGGTGAACCGCCAGCTCGTTTGCCACTTTCTCACATTAAAAAGAAACCTTATAAACACTTATAGTAACCATTAACATTGAATCCATATAAGAGAAGGCAAAGAACAGTTCAATATCTAAAGTAAAAATTGAAATTATAGTAATTACGCGAGCATTCATGTCTTAATTTGGCCCATTTTTAAAAAATGGGATGAAATTAGGACACGATTACCACTTTTGACTTAAAGACTAAATTCAAAAACCTATTCGAATTCATTCTCGTTCCTTTGATAACTAAAATAAATAATTCAATATATAAATACTTCAATAACTAAAATAAATAATCCAATGTAATTGTTTCGTGTGCAAATTATCTCTACTCACACTCAAATAGGGGTAGAAAAATATATAAAAATAAATAAATACCTGAGATTTGCTCGGACGGAGCCCTTCCTCTCGCGTGGATTCATCTACAAGGGTTGGGGGCGCTACTGTGATACCCTCACCAGCCGGCTGGAAACCGTACTTGTCTGCGCCATACTCGATGACGCGCAGCTGTGAAATAAAAAACGAACACTATAAAAAAAGTTTTTTTTTTATGTGAAAAGTTGCCCCCCAGTTGATCTGCTACACCCCAGGGTTTGCAGATGCGTTGACAACCTTTTTGGAAATTGGGCTCCGGCTACCTCACTCACCAGACGAAACGCGAAAGTATTTCTTCATACTTCCACTTTACGCCGGTCTTCTGTGAGGTCGTGGTACTGACCCGGATGAGCCTGCCCATTCGTGCAACAGCCGAGGCTGCTGCGTGGCTCTACCACCGTTATATTATATTATAAAATGGACTAAACATAGTCACGACCTATGAATCTTTATGGGTAGGCGATAGATGGACGTCGAGTGGGCTGGAGATCGCGCTTCGTGGCAGTCTAAGGGGAGGCCTATGTTCAACAGTAGCCTAAAACAGGCTGATATAATGATGATGATGATGAAAAAGGACACATTCTGGACACATTAATTAAAGCACGTATTAAGCAACATTGTCAACAGATAACATAATGAAAAATTGTTTTTATTCTGTATGTATTTAACATATAACGAATATGTAAATGCTCCTTCCTTTTTTCCATTAATGGAGATCCGGTGCATCTCTGACCACTAACCCAATTGGGTGGTGATATAGCGATGACTTTAATGCTTGCGTCCGCATTTTAATCTGATTACTACGTCGTTTTTCAAAGCAAAATAAATGGGTTTCTACTCAGTTAATCAATGCCGTGATTATCACTTAATATCAACTATCATAGCAATCATGTCGTGTGCGTTAAAAACTACATTATTATTCATACCAAACCCATTTATAACCACAAATTGCATGCTGAAGTCAGCTGAATATGTTGCACCAAATTATTATAATTAAGATCACAATGTACTACCACATTCTGGCAATAAAGACATTCATTCATTAATTCAAAGGAAAATGATCAATGAAAGAAAACAGTTTTGAACGGATGGCAACTATAGTAAAAGCATGTTAGCAAATCTCATTACCTTGCCAGTGTCATCCTTGTATCCATATTTTCCCTTGACATCGCCGGATTGCGACTTGGTTTCAATTTTAAACGATCCATCGGCGCCTTCGTATCCGTACGTGTACGAACCGTCTTCGTTGTGCCTGCAATGAAGTAAAAACATTAATAAGATTGGATCTAAGATGGATTTGTTGATGCAAGTATCGAATAAAGAAGAAAATGAGATTTATTCAACCTTAAATTGACAGTCAATTAAAGACTGACAAAAGTATACAAATTATGTATCTGAACTGTTGACTAAAGTTGTTTTGTACTTAGGGAATGAACTTATAGTACTCTATTAAAACTTCATAGAACTTTTTTAGTCCAAAAATCTACTTCATTCTTCTCTTTCGCTACTTTTCTTATTCTGCCAACATAACTTAAGTGAAAATAATTATGTAAAAAATATTCGAAACGTTAACACCGAATTTAAATTCATAATTTAAAATCCGTAAAAAATGTTTCATTTAGCAATGTCTTGTGTTCAGGTAAGTAGAAGAAATCAATACAAAAATTTCCCGCTTCAAGATTTTACAATCCCCAAGGTGAAGCGGTGACAACATTTTTTTTTATCGAAACGCGTTAAGTCTCTATCCGACTAGTAACTTTTCCAAGTAGGTATTTGATATTTATATTTCATAACGTTACATAAGGCTTTATGTATTCTTCGCAATGAAAGCGTTACTGTCATTCACAAAAGACACATCTCTACTTTTTTATGTGAGAAAGTGGCAAACGATGGCAGTTCACGTGATGTTAAGTCATGACTGGACATTTGCAACTAGTACTTGTCTAATCGCACAATTTCCTACAGCACTTCCGTTTTCGTGACGTATACCACAAAATATACCATATTGAGATCGGAAATTCATACTTGTTGATCTGTTTGAGTATAGGCACCGGCGTTGGGGCGACCTTCGGCTCCGAAGCGATGTAGCGCGGTGCGCGGTCCTCGGGGTACTGAGCGAGTGCGCACGCGCACAGAGCCAATAAAACCTGTAGGGAGAGCTCTCGTAAATATTTTTTATGTAAGAAGATGGCAAGCTGTGTCGCGGCTCACCTCATGTTAAGTGATCACCGCCACCCGTTTGCCACCGTTGCAGATGCGTTGCCACCGTTTAATAAAGTGAGCCCCGGCTACCTCACTCACTCGAAACGCAGAAGTATACTTCCACTTCACGCAGGTTTTCTGCGAGGTCGTATTTCTTCCCCGGACGGACCTGCCCGTTGGTGCAACAGCGAACTGCTGGGTGACCCTACCACGTCATTATCATCGTCCTCCACATGTGAAACACGTTGCAAGTGATTTTGGCTAGTTTTTATACGAACGGCCGCCTGCATGGCGTGAACCCACCATGGGAACAAACACTCATATCTGGAACAATTGGCCTGTGGACCACACAAATACTTGTCCCGAGTGGGAATCGAATGCACGACCCCCGGTGCTGAAGCCAATAGTTTAAAACCGCGCCACATAGTTATTCATTATAACTATATCATCCTTTATTCGAGTTAAGTGAAGCCTTGGTAATCAGGCTTACGAACATAATGTCGCGGGTTCGAGATCAGTACACTGACATGTTTTCCGTGTTTTAAATTACGTACAAATATCACTACCTGACATTTATGCCTTGTGTAAAGCGACAAGGCTGTCACTTTTGCGACAACATAAGCACGGCAAATTGATTGCAACGGTGGTAGCTTTAAAAAAGACTATCGATAGATAAAATATTTCTCAGTTTGACGAATAAATGATTTCTTTGATTTGATTTGATTTGTGACTGACTGGAAGAATTAACGTTTAAAAAATACACCTAGGCACACCTTTCAAGGTTTATACCTTTTCCCTTCTTAGGTTGATTAACTGCCTCCTAACCTCACCTCTTGATATTAATTTTTCAAAGTGAGAAGAATAATTGCGTGACGAATTGTTTTACAATGGGATTGTAATAAACATCATAATAAAAATCACAACTGTCCGGCATAATACTGAACGATAAGGAAATAATTAACTAAACAGTGAAACAATTCATTTATACGCGCTAATACATAAATTAGAGAATGAAAGTACTTCATTCTTAATACATTTCCAATAAAAGATTACGTTCTTATTTAAGCTGCTGTACCTTTTATTTATTGCCATTTGATGTAAGGTTCCATAACTTATGAAAGATTCAGTGAATGTTTCGTTATTTTATTCGTTCAGAAATTATTGCTGTAATACATCGACAAATACAAGTGTAAATATCAAAAAACATTAAAACTCTTTCGACTTAAAAGCTTTTCAGCTCTGATCACCACGTACTCTCATTTACTAAATATAAAGTTACATCATGATGCTGTTGATATTTATTTGTTGCAAAGAAAACACTAAACAGATGTATGTATATATGTATCCGTTTTTACAGATTGCAGATGCTGCATTAAACTAATAGTTTAGTCGGATTTATGGACAACATTTATCTTATCTTACGTTTTCAAGACATAAAGTTGCAAGGAACAGATAACTTTAGCGCCTGTACCGTGTTTTAGCTGGGCTTGCTCAAGTACGACGTATTTAAAGGCGAGCGCCCTGATAATAAATTACCACGCCCTAATAATTGCATAATTGTGTTTAGAACAATTTAGTAAAGTAACAGAATATTATTGCAATGTCATAATTCGTTGTAACGTTCACCGGCTCGTTGGTCTAGGGGTATGATTTTCGCTTAGGGTGCGAGAGGTCCCGGGTTCAAATCCCGGACGAGCCCATCTTTTTTTCTACGATATTCTTTATTTAAAATCGTCATCTCCTTTACTGTATTATTAAATAAAAGTATTTGTACGATTTTAGGTCTATTTAAATTAATAATAAATTTCTTAACATCATTTTGTGTAGCGCAAATTTAGCCACTTTTGTGATGATTTTCAATTTATAAATTACGTAAAGAATCTTAAGTAAAAAAGCTAAATTCTATTGTAATTCCTAAGGCCTTCTGTATTACACAAACGTATTTTAAATAAAAATGGATGTTATTCAAAGTCTTTCCAACAATAAAATTCCACAGAGCAATTTATTTATTGCAATATTTAGAGAGGTCATGTCGTGAACGAAAATATTTATTTCCACGTCAAATCGTCTAGTGCAACTGACCGAATTGGGCAAAGAGCACGTGAAATGTACTGTCGACCTTGCAAACGCTACCAGTTGCGTACTTGCGTAGATATTTTAGACATATAACCAAAAAAACAACAATATTTGTGGTCCAAGAAGTCGGAGTTGATGTTTTTATGTTAAATAATATTGTAGAGTTATTTTTCAATTATAATGTGAATTGGAATTATTTTCTATGTTATATTAGAGTAAAAATAGTGTGTCTATTAGAGTAAGAACTTGGACATAAGTTCAATTTCGATTTTATTGTCATTGTATTGTCATTAAACGAGGTTTTGGTTTTATGAATATTACGTACAAATGCCATTATAATTCATGTATCACTGTAAATACATCCTAGGTACATTGTCATTAATTATCTGTATTTAAAATGTAAAATATGAAATTCATGACAGTGTTCCGCGTATGAATAAGTCGGTTGATTATTTTTTTTTAAATTGTTAATTAATTAATTGTCATTTGATTAAAATCAATATCTTTAAGAGGAAATACTGTCATACTTAAATGTGATCGGTGTATTGTAAAATATGCACAGTTAGATAATGGGAATGGTAAAGGTAAATACAAATGATACCTAATAAAGCATTCAACAATTCAAACAATTACATATAATGTATTATATACGATTCTTAACGATTGGCATAACGTTAAAGGCAAAATTTATCGACATAGAGGATATTTCACAAAAGAAGGCTTAGTATCCGTTGTGAAATCGTCAATCGCTTGTGACTTGCGCCAGCGGAGCGCCGTTCATGCAATGATGGTTTCGTGTCAAATTGTTTCGATTTAGTTTCGGTGTTATTATGGATTTTAGGGCACGGGTGTGTGCTTGCATAGAGTGCAATACGTGAAGCAGTTACTGATATCGCACGATGACAAGAAACCATTCCATTTTAACACAAACTTCGGACGAAAAGATAATTTCACATTATTAAATGAAAATTATTTTAATGATGTGAATTAATAAAACGGATGTATTGCGTTTACTTTTAATTTTAACTCCCTATGTTTTGAACACTTCAACGTGATCTCGGTCAAAGGACAGAGGGGGCTACCTCCACTATTTAAAATAATAAACCGTGGTCGCTATAAAAAGAGCGTAAGGAAATTAGACAATAATAGATTTTCAATCAAATGTTGTGCTTGTTCTCACCAGAGTGAATTGCAAGAATAATAATTTCGCATTTCGTCTGATGAGTGGCGTAACCAGGCCCTGGCTGACTTTTTCTAAACGTTGTCGATGCATCTGCAAGCCCTCTGGTTTAAAACATAAAAATACTTCTGGTGTTACACCGTGGTTCTTCCCTGGACTTGCTCGCCCAATGGTGCAACAGCAGAAGCCGCTGCGAGGTCTTTGCATCGTCCAGGACAATGTGACCGTCCTTGTATAGGAAGATAAGGATGATAGAAACCCCTAAGGAAATAACATTACTGTGGTAAGACCACGCAACAGTGTTCACTGTTGCACGGATGGGCAGGTCCATCCGGGTAAGTACCACGACCTCACAGAAGATCGGCGTAAAGTAGAAGTGTTACACTTCTATGTTTCGTCTGGTGAGTGAGGTAGCCGGGGCCCATTTTATTTAAAGGTGGCAACGCATTTGCAATCCTACGGGTGTTGCAAATGTCCACGGGCGGCGATTATCACTTAACATCAGGTGAACCGCCAGCTCGTTTGCCACTTTGTCAAAAATCAACATGAAAAAACCATGCAACAAACGTACTGCTTTAATTACATTTATGTGTCGACGATGTGTCCTATTCAAAGTAAGATTCATAAATGACAGTCGCGACGCAAAAGCACAGAATAAAAAACATATTTAAAAACACATCATTTCGTATTCGATCGGCTCATTACTATTTATAGCTGGACCAGATCTGTTCCTGAACTCTTTGTGCGGAGCAAGTCCATAATTCATACAAAGGGCGTCGAATCGGAAAGTGCAGGTATTTAGAGGCCACGGTCCAGTTGCGGGCCGTTCACTGAGTGTAGGGTGTCCATGTTGCATGCGGCTAATGGGACAGTCTGTGCATTTTTTTATGAATTTGAATCCGTTAGGATGTCTACAAGATCCGTAAGTTAATTGCGACCTTGTGTTTTGTTTTTAATTCCCTCGGAAGCTATTTTTTCTATTGTAATACAAATAATGTACCGTCGTTAATGACACGTTTATTTATACCGAGAGATCGTCAACAAAACTATCAATTCCTAACCCTCTTGAAAATCAAAATTACAGAAACTCATTTACGATTAAGTCATGAAATCAAATTAAAAAGTATATGCGCTTTAAATAAAATATGCTATATCTTGTTATTATATATTATAATTATTACTGTTTTAATTTTCACTGTTGTCCGCATTTGATTTATTTTACAACATTTACCTAGATTCATTAATCTGAAATTCGAATATCCGTGAATATATTACAATCACAGAATTGGTACTTCGTACCTACTCCTTTCTTGCTACTTAAATTACCAAAAGCAAGAACTAAATTTAACGAGCGATATATGCACATTGAAACTGTAGTCATTAAATTAAAATAATTAAAACGATAAAAGGATAATGAATAAATTTGCATAATGTAAGAGTGAGCAAATGTCATTTTGCAAGTTGTTACTATTAAAATGCTACGTCAAGTAGCGAACCTTGAACGAGCTGCAATTTGAAAATATACAAAGTGTGACAAAGACAGTGGTACACTTACTTTCTGTCTCTGTCAGCTTAACTTACGGATATTGCTAGTTCATTCGTTTTAAAGGGCAATCGCTTATTTTATATAACATATGTATAATTTAATTAATTAGTCAGTTTATTAGTTAATTAAAAAATCAATTACTT